AATGAGATGCATTTAATGCAAGGTAGAGATGACGAAATGAAAACAGCAAAGTTGAAAACCAAAAACCCGGAGGAATCAGGAACTCTAAGGCAATACCTCAGTACCTCATTGATAACTTCCCGTGACTTAAGTTGAAATAGTGGATTTGGGATATGGGCAGGAAGGAGACAAATGTTCCTGTGGAAGAAACAGCATGTACCAAGATTAGGGCCTAAAAGGAAGCACAATATGTAAATCATTTTTCTTTTTTTTTTTTTTAATTAATTGATTTATTTTTAACTGCAGTATCATTGGGGCCACTATAGTGCCTCCGTCACCAATCACCCCTACTCCACTACCACAAACCATCTTGTATGCCTCCATCCCTGTTCCTTCCCCTCCCCCACCCCCGTACTCAGTTCTGCAGTCAGCTCTCAAGGGTTAGTTTTTCAGTTTGTCTTTATCTGACTATTATTTTGTTGCTTTATATTCCACAGATTAGTGACACCATCCAGTATTTAACTTTCTCCTCCTGAATTATTTAGCTTAGCATTATAGCTGAAGCAACATGAATATGTCAGGACTGATGGTAGAGAGAAAGGTACAATCAGAGAGGGAGCAGGGGGAAGATCATGAAGGGACCTCAACTCAATGTTAAGGCCTTGGGTTTATCTTAAAAGTAGGGGCTTTGTGGAGGGGTGTGACAGGACAAGGTTAGGGTTTTAGAAATGTGGCTCTGTCTGCAATGTGAGACTAGATTAATGTAAACAAGTCACCCTAAGTATTGGGGGAACAAGTAGGAGGCCACTGGTGTAGTCTAGGTGAGAGATGATGGCAGCCTGACTGGGACAACAGGAGAAATGATTGGGAGCAACAAATAGATTAAATATCTATATGGGCTTTAAACCTACAACATTAGGGAATCGTTATTTGTGAGGGTAAAGAGAAGTCACAAATGTTATCCGTTTACAATTAGGTCACTGACAGCTTTTGAGGGCCCTCCCAAAGAGGTGATACTGAGTTTGCAGCATGTAATGGATTTTAAATGGAGGAAAGTAGACACTTAGGTTCTCATATTTAGAAGTCATTGGAGGTTTTCTATCTATTCTCCCTCCAAATTAGTATAAAAGGTAAAAAAGGAACCTTTTCTTGATCTACATATAGTCCTGAATTGATCTGAGGTGAAATTAATGTCAAGAAATCTGATTATGTAATGTTTATATTTTTATCTAAGTGACAGAGGCACGTGGAATAATGAGGATTTAAATGAAATTTAATAATGAGGACTTAAATAATTTAATGCATGAGAAAATCCCTGCATTCTAAAACATATTTTGTGATAATTCAGGTCTTAGAAAATCACTTCATAGCTGTTATTATCAATACAGAAAAATGGGAACCTTTATGACATCATCAAAAAAAAAACTGCTTTAAAAGAAAGAAAATCAATGTAATTGATCTAACAATAGATAGAGATAAGATTCTGAAATAAGATTCACCTTGACTGGACTTTTTACTGCTACTTTAATGGATATGTAATTATTTTTTTTTCTAATTAACAAATGTTTCTAACAGATTTAAAGCATTTTCTAATTATGCACACAATATTTTCATGAAATTTTAAAATATTGCAAAGTATATAGAAAAAATCATCTCAAATACTTACTGTTAAATTTAAGTAAATTGTGTTATTATAAAATCATCTAAATTTCAGGTGAGCATCAGCATTAATCAACATGTTTATGTGCTACATTAAGTTCATTGCTACAAGTTCAAGTCTATCCTTCACCATAACATTGTTCTCTTTGTCCAGATCTTCCCACCTCTTTTCTCCCTGCCTTCTGTTAATCACATCTTATAGTCCAAAAGTTTGTTTTTGTTTAATTTAGTTAATCTGCTTTCTTGAAGCCATTTGTTATTTTTTTTTCTGTGCATTCCCTTTGCATTTTAACATAGGTACATACTTTTTTAATATAGATAGCAATATAATTTTACAGATTGCTTTATTTATTTGTTATTTTAAATAATACCCCAACTCATTATATTCTTTGAAAATTCAAAGTAATAGAGCTGATAATATTTTAAATGTCTATCCATTACTCTATTGTTAGATATGAGCTTTAAATTGTCTTCATTACAAATAACCCAGATGATCTTTATACATGATCTAAGAATCATATTCTTAGAAGTGGAATTATTTGATTAAAAAGTATGCCTGAAAGATATTTAAGGTCAGTTGGTTATTTATTAGGGTTACTGCTAGAAAATCATACTATAGAATCCTAGACTAAATACCCCAATCTCCTGTAGTATTGTTTTCTGTTTATTAAATGTGCCTTACAACAAATGATTATTTCAGGTAGATATCATGGAGTTTTTATCCTAGTCAAATGGTACATTTCTCTAAAGTTTGTTTTGAGTACAAACAGATCTAAAGCATGTTTGCACTTCCCTAAAATGGTACTACTTGTTCCCACCCAATGCACAGATCTTTAAAGCTATCACGTTCTCTGTAGGACTAATGCACTTTATTCTACATGACATTGAAAGGCAGTGTCAATTATGATGGATCACGAAGCTCACAACTAATGATACATTTAAAGTCAATTCATTTGTCTCTTTGATCATGTAAATGCGTTGGCCTTCACCATGCCTGCATGATAGGACATTATAGGTACTTTGGAGTCATTTCATTGTACACTTATATATCAGTGCAGCTGCCACTAATGTTTACAAGTCCATGTGCTACATATCCTCATGATATTTTTGCAGAGGTTAATGCTCATGCATAGTAGATATATTTATTAGGCAGGCAATAACAGACCCACAGGAGTCATTACAGCTCTTAAGAGATTAATATCTATGATCACTCCCATTTTATTTTATCTCCTTTTTACTCTATTTAGTGAGCTCTTTTTTTTTTTTTTAATTTTCCACTCATCTCAAAACTATTTGGTACATACTATTGAGTCATATACCTATAGGTTGTAGATTTTAGAAGGTATTTTATTGTCCTATAAGTCAAAACCTATTTCTAGAGCTCCTAGTACTTGCTCTTTGACTTTGAAATTGTGTCCTGTTCTTGCTAATCCACCCTTGATGGTAGTCCAGATAATAATGTACTATTGCATAGAAAACAATTCACATCTTGCAAAAGTCTTAGTTATTCTGCAATAGTAAATGATTGTGAGGCATAAAATGTTATTCCCTAGATCTAACACCTTGCAACATAACTTACTGAGGCTTTCTCTTCAAGAAAAATTCTCACTTGCAATTCATGTTTAGTCTGTTTTTCCTATCTTATCCCTAACAGCTGGGTTATATCTGCTTCCAGGGAAATGTGTTATGTATGTTTAATACCAATAGCTAAAAAGAACCTAGAAAACTGAAAATAGCCTTACATTTAAGTTTAAAGCAATCTGCCAAAGAATTTTTAACTTGATCACCAAATTGGCAATCATGACATTAATCATTAACAAAGATTAAAATGACTTAAGGTCTACTCTACAGAAACACAGAAAAGATAACCAAAGATAATCATTTTTATTTTAATCTTAACTTAATCCCTAACAGTACTTTCTTTGTATCAGGAAATTTCTGATCCAGGACCAATTTGCTTTAAGCAGAGATTGTATTTAATCCCTGGTTTCTGAAGCAAGTATGTGAAGACAGAAGTTGCATTCCTCCTCTGACTTTGTCAGTTTCTCTCTGCCAGAGGGTTCCAATCCTGTCAGATCACGTGCTCTGAGTCTCACATTCTTAGTCAGGAAGGTTGTTGTGATATTAAACCAAGTTCATTCCCCAAAAGCCACAACGTTTTTGCTCAAATCAGAAGGACTCTTGGCCAACAGAGACATTACTCACTGAATATTTGTCAGGCCAGATATATTGATGTTCTCCCTCTACCTATGAGGCAATGTGTCTGGGTACTGAGTCACAGGGGAGGGGTGAACAACTTAAGCAATTACAAACCTGCAGATGTTAGCAAGGGAAGTCTCATTCAGACCATCCTGGGGTTTGGATTTGTCCTTTTTTCCTTTTCTAAATGGGAATTTTTTTCTGAACAAAGATTATATAATTTTAAAGTAAACCACATAGCTTTGTTTAACACATTCAGAATCATATGAGTATTTTATTATGAGGGTTAATACCATAAGAATAAAGGTATGGGTGAGCTGGGTTGTGTTATTGTACTGAAAGATGATGTATATAAATATTGCTCTACTCAGTGACCTCAATACTGAGCAGGAGTGTTAATGTGAAATGGTTTTATCACTTCATGCCAGTGCTAGCTATCAATGGTGGATGAACAAGGTTTCCAGACACACCCTATTTAAAGAACTATGAATGTCCCAACAGATTGTTTGGTTTCTCAGGCCAACAGGGAACATTCAATGATGGCACATTCTACCAGCAAAGCCCCAGATCTGACTTTATGTCACTTGTTTATATGAAAGATATTTGAAGGTCCATTGTCCTCAATATTCATTTGAGTTCTTTAAGTTAAAAGCACTTGGTCGCAATTCAATTATAAAAATATTTATGGATTGTGCAGTCAGGGAAATATCCGTACACAACCTATATCAGTATATTGTAAAGAAAATATCCTCATTTATCTCATGCTACTTTTGTACTAAAATATGATAGGAGTGTAGTTGTGATATTTAAACTCTACTGCTATTTTAAAAACAACTTCAAGAACAAAAACACACTCTAAGCTAGATTATATTTTGCACAAATAATGTTCCTATAATAGCAAGACCATTTTATATATAAGACAAATTATTTCCTTTCTAAAGGCCAGTCATTTCTTTTTCTTAGCTCAAAGGAATATTATACAGGTAGCATGCTCTGAAAGATAAATGGTCCTTTCACATCCCGAAGAGTTGGTGCTGTATATCTATTATATCATCAGGGGACCTTTTCATAATGCATGATACTTAATAAAATACAATGATTTTAGTAGAGAGTATAGAAAACTGACAAGCTGTGATAGAATGATTTTTAAATAATAGACTCACCATAAACCTAAGTTCATTGAGTGACAAAGGTAGATTTTTCTCCAAGGAAACGGTAGAGGCTTCTTTGACGCTACTAATCTATTTCCTAATGAGACAAGTAAATGAATCATTCAAAAAAAATACTGTCATTACTATTTTTTGAGACATGGTGAAAGACTGAATTTATGGTACTTGATGCCAGAAATAATATTCATTTTCACGTGGCATCTATAGTTTAGGTGACTGAAGTATAATAAATTTAAAAAAAAATCCATGGGCAAAATTGCTTCCCCCCCTCCCCCTTGGGTAATACGAAGAGGATGAGAGACAAACAAATCATATTTGTACCATGAGAACGAACTATTTTATGTCTTTAAAAAAATACAACTTTCAAACAGCTTCCAAATTGGGATGCTGCATCATTAAACATTTGACATTTGTCCAGTTAAAACTATTGACTCATGCTTTCATTGCTTCCCCCTCAAATTACTACAGTGCCACAGCTGATCTGACTATATTTTCCATTTCTTATAAATAGCCACAAGAAAAGTATTAATTATCCTTGTACAATTTAATGCACCAACTGCCTTAACCTTTCAGGTTTTCTTAAACGCCAGCATAACAAGGCATATCCATGGCAGCAAATGTGATTTATGACAGGAATCTTTAATTTCTGTTTTTAAATATGTTACCCACCGATCTGCATACATTTAAATTCGCCTGCAACACTTTTCTCTGTCTTGAGGCTGTTGTTTAATATTCAAGGATGATTTTTGTCCACATACATTTTGGTCTATGTCACCTCAGATTAAATTATTACTGTTTGCAGCCTTTTCGGAGCAGGCCTCAGGCCCTTATTTACAAGAATCAATGAAACAGTAATGAAAATCCATTTTTCATACTATCAGCTCTGGCCTGCTTTTATTTAGTTAGCTGTGTCTAAGCAAGCAATTCATTTTGTGCAAATGTCATGTAGAGAAAAAAGGATGAGCCGTGAAAGGGTTAATCATGAAATAAGACCTAAGCTTTTCCCCATATAAAAAGCATCCGTAATGCTAAAATTAAAAAAAAAGCCCTTCTTAATATATGCAAAGTAATGTATATTGACACATAAGCAAGGCTTTTCATGATGAATATTGAAATATATATGCAAAGCACAGGAAATGTGTAACATGTTATAGATCTTTCAGTGTACATTTAGAGGAAATGAACCATTTATATTCTACAATTTAGTGAATACCTACTGTTTATTGGTACAGAGCACATAGGAGTATATTTGTCTTAGTAATTTATTTAGGTAAATATATTTATTCTTCTAGGGGTTCTTGTGCTTTTCTTGGTTCTATAGTACTAGACATAAATATTTAACAATGCATTGTCTCAAATGTTATTCATGTAATTTATCAGAGAAAACAGTGGAGTTGTAATAACTTTTAAGCCTGCACCTTCTCTTAAACCTGAGATTGATTTGGAATGCAGGAAACTGAGCTGGATTTTCTTCATACTACTGAGGAGAATTATTTACTAGTTTTAACTGAGGTAAGCTAAACTAGTCCAGCAACCCAAAGAACAAGGTTCATTTACTTCCTTTTTAAATCAGCTTTTTAAAGCAAATGCTTTAACTATAAAAGAAAAAGACTTAGTGAGAGAAGAAGCATTTAATTATTATGAATTATTTCCCTGTATTTGCTGACCTACCCACTTTCCTTTATACATATATGTATACAGAGGAATATACATATATATTACTTCTTATGAGTATTCCTCTTGGGAATGTCTTCTAAATTTTAATGCACTTGGCTATAAGGATGTCAGTTCAAATTATAGCTAAGGTCTTGTAAAAGTGACTGTCCACTTTTAATATCACAAAACAAATGAATAGAGACTGACAGTATTTGGTGTCTTCTTCATCATTGCTCTGGACTTTCTTAAAAATAAATTTAAAAGATTTAAAATTCAGATTTCTCTATCTGAACACTTTTCTCGCTTATATTTGGTTTCCAAAAATCTGTTTCCTATGTTTGATGATAGAATTTTTAATATGATATTATCTGAAAGCTGGTTGACTAGTTTTAATTATTTTTTAAAATCTGAGAGCCATTTTCTATAGAATTACAGCAAAAAATTCCAGCATCAATGTTCTGAAACTGCATCTGGACTCTGGGTTCAAGCCTGCTAATGGTCTTATGGATTAAGCCAAGGACTGACCATTGAATAGATCCTTATAAACCGATGAGTCATGCAGCCTAAAGAGCTAGTCAACCCCAATTACTGAAGTTGTACTTACCTCCTCAGGTGCTGTATCTTATCAGAGTGTGTCCATAGAGTAGTTTTTATTCTGATATTAAAGCCTTATATGTTGAGATTTTTGAAGAATAGAATACATCAACTGAGTTATCAGAATCTGAATTATTCCAGAAAATTGATCATTAAAGTCTTTTCTTGTTGAAAGAATGTCGTTAGTTCAAATCTGATAAGAAAGAAAATTAATTGACTTAATAGTGAGTGGTAGGAAATAAGTTGTTCTTTTATCATATCTTTTTTCTTATAGAATCCACCCACCATTCACTTGCATTCATATACTGGCATTTATAAAAGGTTCTGGAGACTAAAGGATTTCTACCAGACATATAAATAGAAAAAAATAAAGATAATATACTTTCAAAACTGTTTTGAATTTCCTTAATTGTTTAAGGGGAGGGACCATAAAACTTTACTTTTAAAGTTTAAAAGTAATCCATTTGAGTTTCATTTATTCCAGCAAGCTTCCCTGCCTGTCAGTAACACCATAAAGTTGCGGCCTGTATGATTGAATTTTGTTTCTCTTAAACTTTCTCACTTATGTATTTTTGTAATAAGTGTAATTACATTATAAATTCTACCTTTATAGGACAAGGAGGTAAAGACTATGTTTGAAAATCAGTCCCAGGATTGTAAATTCCTGTTTACAAGTGACCAGTAGATGTAAGAGCTGTGTTCAACTCCTTCCACTCAGAGTATATGATGAAATATGACTCATTCATTTTATATTTTGCATTATACCTGAAAATCTTTGGTAAAAACATGAGAAAGTGTTCATGTTACATCTTCAGTTTTAAAGATGTAAAGAAATATGTTAGTAGTCTCTCAAATTAGGAAATATGGGGGATGGGACGATGCAAAGAAATAGACAAAAATTTCAGCATTTTATTTCTTTGTAGGATGGGATTGAAGATGACATTTTCAAATTCTTTATTTTTGTTTTCTAAATTTCATAAATGACCAAACATTAGATGACATTTCCATAATGGTTAGCTTTTTTTTTTTCTTTTTTTAAGATATCAGACAAAGAAGGAAACCCCTGGAAAGAGATAGGTACCCAAAAGGGGCTCAGGACCAATGTCACTTCTGTTACACAAATAGGGTATTGTCCTTTCCTTCACTTTACTTTTCATGAAAGTTATCCCCAGGAGATATTTATCTAAATTCAGAAACACTATATTTTTCAATTCCTCTAAGAAAATTTAGAAGACAGTAATAATTGGATTAAAAAATAATGTTTCCTTACTAAGACCTAGCTTAGAACAGCTGCATGAACAAATGGGGAGCTTGGTTGTGAGGTGCCAGGGGGGAGGAGGTGGCATGCACTGTGAAGTTTAGACTTTGGTGGGAGCTCACACTGGAATAAGATTTGGGATGGAATAAATGTGCATGCGACCTAGCACTATCACTTTCTCTTTGTGTCAAAAATCACTGAATCCCACTCTTCTATTTTATCTCTCTATAAAATGGTGATAGTTTTAGTGCCCACATTACAGGTTGTGGTAAAAACGAAATAATATAATACCCATAAAACATTTATAATTATGTTTGACACATAGTAAGAGCTTTAAAAATGTGAACAATGAAAAGTACATTTACATGTTTGTGAATTATTAGAGAGGGTTAATTTCATTGGAGAGATATGTGAAAGGGAGGTATAAAAGTATTTTTATTTTATTATTATTATTATTATTATTTAACTTGTTCTTCTCTCTTTTTTTAAAGATTTATTTATTTATTTATACAAGCACTGGGTATAGTCAGAAGTGTGGGAGGGTGAGAGAATTCACCAGAGCCAGAACGGAGAGCAGAACAGGCAGAGTGAGGAAATACACTGCTGAGGGGAGCAGCGGGTGCGGAAGGAGAGGTCTCCGCGCCATGTGGGACCCTCACAGGTGGCCAGGGATAGAACCGGCACTGCAGAGGCTGCGGGCATCTTCGCAGCCCAGTGCTCAACCACTGCGCCACCAGGGGAGGCCCTACTTTTAAAAGTAAATATTTCAACAAAAATTTTAAGAGAGTTTTGAATTCAGGGAATGTGGGGAGCAATTATCTTCCTTATTCTCCTCATTTACACCTCTCTTAAGTACCAGAGACCCTCTTGTTAAGAATAATATGACAAGCACTGATTAAAAAGTGTGATTTGTATGTAGGCTAGCCTTGGAACATTTTCAATAGAAAAATGTTACTTGTGACCAAAACTGATCTACACATAACCATTTGAAATATAGTTGTTTAGAAATTGACCTTCAAATTTTTTGATATCCTCTGTCATTTGCTTAACCAAATCTATTTTGAAATAACATTGATATATATTTAACTGTAGGCTAGAGGGTCAATAAGAAGAAGAATATAAGAATCAGAGAAACTACTGTAAAAATAATTTCTTAGATAAATTAAATTGGTTAAATTTCTTCAATGAACAAAGCCCAGAAAATATTTATTTTTATTGTTTTTTTTGGTCAGACCTCAGAACTTAGAAAATTAACCAGATTTCTGGCTAGGGTCTTTTGCTTTGTGCACATCTCACGTGAACTTGAAATTGGTTAAACATAGTAAAAAATAGCTATCTACTAGATATCTGATAATGAATAAGTGTCAGAATGATGTACTTAGACAAAAATTATGAAGCAACTGGAAATATCTAGTAACTATGAAGAGGAAGAAACATTTTAAAAAAGATATTCACATCTTTATTATTTATGAATAACTGGTCATAGCCCAGAAGGTTACAAATTTGGACAATAAAATAACTACACTTCTTTGAGAACCAGAGGAAGAATCAATTATCTTGAGCGTATTCAGATTCAATCAATGATTTATGACCATTTATGAAGTAAAGGAAATATCAATTTCTAAATTTGTATTTAATATTTACAAATATGTAAATTAGACTGTCTCAGAAAAGTGTAGCAGATGTCTCTATCTTCTTGATGCTGATGGACTGCCTAGGTATTATTTTAAAATGATAGATTGGCAATGAGAATATTATTTCCTACTCTATTTCATCATATTCATTTGGAAGCATTAATTCTTTGAAAAAAGATTATACATGCAATCCAATCTTGACAGCCTGGCTCTATGTAATGGGATGTTCTATTTAAATGTGAGGACATATTGATCTCAGTCTGAAGTATCTATCTAGTATCTATCAAAAGGATAAAGTTTGAACATTTTCCATGATGAGTCTTGTTCCAAATTTTTTGAAATGGAATATGCTATAAAAAAAATAGTAACTTTTCACTTCTTAATTTGGAGACATTTTAAGCAAAGAAAAGAACATTGAATAAAGTTGTGATATTTCTTTACACAGGGTCTTTTAGCAAGAGGATGGAACACTTACCTCAAGGGAAAAGTAAGCCAAAGGGTCTGATTCTACTATATTTGGAGATGTAGAATATTTTCCTCAGGAGCACTGGGCCATAAACCTTCAGTCTTTACAACCTCCTAATTTAAGTCAGTGTTCTTTCTCATACACCATTTCTGGGCTCTCATGAAAATAATTTCAGCTAAGTAAATCAGTTTATTTTAAGATCCTGGATTTGTCTTGATTTTCAAGTTTGGATTATGGGAGTATTTTTATTTTTCAAACCCATGTGTAAAAAACTGAAAAATGTGTCTTTAGTGTCCATTCAATAGATAGTACATTTAAAATGGAAAGAGTGGAATTTTTTAAGAAAATAAAAATTGATCATAACCAAGAACTGAAAGTAAGAAGAAATATATCACTGTGTGTGCATATGTACAATATATATTTCAAAAGCTAAGAAAAATTTAGAGTGCTGCGTAAAGTATAAATACTACTAAATAACAAATATTTATTTAAATATTTATTTAAATAAATTAGAATATGTTTTAGCCTAATGCAATTCACCCACTAAATTTTGGATTGTATTTTGCATATGAATATAGTGTTATCATTGGTAACCATAAAATATTATATTTGACAAAATGAAAATATTTTCAACTTAAAACATAAACATTAATGACTCATATATACAGTTGTCTTTCTATTTTTAATCGGAATACATTCAAATAAAATTTTGAGATTTGATAATATATGGTACATAGTTACCAAAAAACAATTTAAGAATATTAGCAATTTTCTGTTTGGATTATATTAATGGCTATATCAAATAGTAACACACACTTTTAATAGTGTGATTGCATTAATTAGTATTCAGATATTGTTGATAAGAATTCTGTGAAATCTGAGACAAGATTTCATATTTTTGAGGGTATAGAATGTGAATCTGGGGTATCTAATTGTGAGTTGCCAATAAAATAAATATGAAAGTATAGGTATGGTATGTGTCTCTTTGCATGAGATATTCTCTTAGTGGTTCTAATAAAATCCCTAATATAAACAGAGTTACAATTAAAACATAACTATGTCAATCTTATGGAAAGATCTCTAGAGAGAGATTACATAGCCAATAAATAGTATTAGTTAAAATTTTAAGAATGCTATTTTCCTATTACTACTGAATAAATTTAGTGTCATCATACAAATAGGTGAAAAGAAAACAGCATCAGAAGTGTATACACATTTAATATTGCTGGGAAGTCAAAAGATTTTCTTAAAAGATGTTTCCATTCATTGTTATATATGCCATTATATATGAAATATATTACTTATTCTTAGCAAATTCATTACTTCTTCACATAATATATTATTGTTAAGTGTTATTCACTACACTTTTCTCCCAAGAAAAAGTCTTTTTATTCAGTACTATTTAACTGGAACCAAAACGTCAAAGGGATCTAATTACTAAATAACAAATTAGAAATAAGCTTTCACTTATCTGACTTAACAAAGAAGAACAGATATTTCAAACATATACCCACACAATAGTAACTTCTATTTGTATTTACAATGTATTATTAAAATCAATTTGTATCATAGTTAATGGCTAAAGGAGCTGGCCCAAAGCCATTCTCAATGGTAGTGGGAAATCAGTCTGGGAGTCAATTTGTGGAATATTCTCTCTCATTCAAGTCAATATTTCTGTAGAAAGGTTTAAAGCTGTAAAATTTCTTGGTATATGACTTTCAGTAATCAAAAAGTCAGTAATCAAAATCAAAAAATAAATTTGGAAACTTTTCCTCAAGGACCCATATAAGGTAATTTGGAATTAAGAAAAAGAAATATTTTTACTAGTTAGTGAT